GGTCAAGTACAGCTTGAGCTTGGAATGGAGTTTGGCAGCTTGGAGCACTTTAAACAGGAGGATGGCTGCCCATCAAAGAATTCTTGGTACAATTAGGGGTAAAATTGCCCCAGCACAACAGAAGAAGCTGGATCAATTGAAGGTGTTAAGCAACTCCTGGACACTAATTTGGACAGGGAACTTGGAGCAAGATTTATACGAAGTGACTGGAAAAGGTGAAAGGGTTGGAAACAATCTAACCTACAAGTCTTGTGCATGTAATGTGCGGCAGCTCACTGGATTGCCGTGTGAGCATGCAATTGCTGCAATATGTCACAAGAATGAACCAGCAGAGCTTTATGTCCATCAATGGCTGACAGTGGATGCTTTGCATGCCACTTATACACATACCTTGAACGCTGTCAATTCTGATCAGTATTGGCATGCATCATCTGAGCCTAAACCCATTCCCCCACCACTGAAAAGGCCAATTGGTCGTCCCAAAAAGCATAGGAAGAAGGATCAAACTGACGAGCATAATAGCAAAACCAAAAAATTAAAGAGGACACGTGCTGCAACGTGTGCTAAATGTGGGCAGTCTGGTCACTATGCCAAGACCTGTAAGGGACCAGCTGCAAGCAAGAGAGGGAGGAGAGCAGCATCACCTTCACATGCAGTTAATGTCAACATAGCAGCAAGACATGAAGAGGAGATCCCTCTGAGTCAAGGAGGACCTTCAAGGCAGTCCCAGGTAGCTGAGGAAGCCATTAGGGGCAACAACCCACCACTTACTGCCCCACCACCAGCACAACAATTGTCAACTGAAACTGTCAATGCAACAAGCAGTGGCACAAGGAGCAGGCTTATGGAATTCATGTCCACACCTGGGTTTAGGCCACCAAGACCAGCTTGAATGAAGATGATCAATTTTTTGTATAGGGGTTCAGTTTTTGTTGTATAGGCAACAATGGTCCTTAATACCAAATTTTTTGAATTGTATGAACTGTCAGTTGTACCCCCATTATTTTTTTGTAGTCAAGGCCTTTAGGTGAAGTACTTGCTTTTTTTTGAATCACAATATGACTCTGTATGGGTGTATTTTGAAGCAAAAAAAAAACAATAGGGGAATAGTTTGAAGGATGTTTTAAAGCCGTATTATGAGGAAAATATATACATTATTATGAGGACTACAAGTTCTCTGTAACATCCCATATAATTAGGAAAATATATACATTATTATGAGGAATATGGAAGCATGTGTTAAATCCGTATTATATGTGAATAATCTTAGGGTGGAATTAAATTGGGGTAGGAAAAGTATTATAGTTGCAATTTTGTGGGGGAATATGCTTTAGGCATTCAAAACCATAGTTAAAAGAATAGGATTAATGTAATCATAACGTATTAAAATGTTAGTTAAAATTTAGTAGTCATATGAAATAAAAATTAGTAGGGTCTCCTATGTGTTAAGTGAAATTTCGAAACATTAAATTTGGGCCTTTGTTCCATTGAGGGCCGCAGCCTAGAGCCTTAAAGAAGGGCTTACGATCAGCCCAAAACCCTTCCTCCACCGTACCTAATCTTTACTTACCCTAAGAGGATCATGATCAATCCCTCATTGGCCAAAATGCACCACTTGGCAAAACCCCATCCTTGTTCCCCCTCACATGTGCGCATAGGGTATGTCAAAATTCTGATTTCTTGCTTTTGTGGACACAACAAGTCAGCCACATTGCCTCCTCAAGCGGCCAATGAAGAGAGAGCAATCCACCTGCATGTTTTCCTATTGGACTAGAATCCCCACATGGCAAACTCCCTCATCCTGACCCCTTGTGATGCGCATGGAATGAATAGAAGGGAAGCTGATTTTTTTTTTTGCTATGGTATCCAAACTGAAACAACCTTTTACATGCACCCAATGAGAAACTTGTAGTCAGCTTGCATGTCTTTTAATTGGGAAAAAACCTCGCCCACTTTGCACCCATTTGTGCGCATGAAATGAGAGAGTGAGTCTAGTATTTCTTATCCTTGTTGCTCTTTTTAATCAGCCTCAAACCCCCATTCTTTCATCCCTCATGCGCTGATTGTGTAGGATAAGTAGGTTGAAGATTTAACTTGTGTAACAGAAATAAACGTAACACCACCCCTCTCCTCTCATTCTTCCATGACTGTGAGTGAAGGAACACCAAAAGAAACAAAAGATTGTACACTACTCTCACCTCTTTTCCTATAAATCGTGGACCCCTAGTGACCTACCATCATCCAAGCATCCATCTTCTTCTTCTCCCTATTCGGCCGAAGCTCATCCTACAAGGAGGTATAGAAAATTCTCTTCTTCATTGTCTCTCTCTTTACCACATTTGGTTGATGAAGATGTCCTCTTGCATGTAGGTTTTAACTCAAGCTAATCCTCCACCCATTGTGCGCATAAGTCAACGTCTAGGAGGGCTAGACTTGCTGTTTTCGTGGAGCATAGGAAGTTGGGGTGTTGCTCCTTGTCCTCTTCGTGGTTCTTGGTGTGTTTGCAAGAGGTAAATCTTAATTTAGAACTCCCTCTCCCTCTCCTCTGTTTAGGGTTGCAAGCATGTTTAAGGAGTTAGTTTCTTCAAATCCTATCTCTTTGTTTCTGCCCTATTGTGCCTCAAGCTTTATACGAATTAAAATAAATAGACAGCAAGTTTTAGGCCCCCATTAGCGCACCTTGGTAGTAGTGGAGTTAGTATGTGAATGAAATATTCTGAACACCTTGTTACTGTTAGAAAACCGAATCTGCATAGGGTGAGACCTTAGAAATTTTTGCTGCACATGTTGTTTAAAATTTATAAGAGGATAGAAAATAAATTCTTTTGGAAGACCATCGAAACCGATTATGAACCTTGGGAAAAACTTGGATGAAGTCAGAAAATTTATTTCCTTAAGAGAACCATGGAAACCGAACCTGTACACATTGTGAACCTTGGAAAAAATTAAAATTTGCTAACCGTTGATGGAATAAATTAAGGACAGTAAAATAAGTGGCTTTAGAAGCAACATAATTCGACCAAGGCACTAAGATTAGAAGCCTCGAAATTATTTGTGAGTTATAGGAAAAATTATGTGAAATTCTGATTTGGTGCAATGGTATATTAGGTACGCGAAACCCTTAAGACCGTGGACTATTTCGCTGTTGTTTGGTAATTTATTTGTGGCACGCGAGGTATGTGTTAGGTGGCATTACCTTTTGTGACTGCTAGCTAGTTATGGGATTGTGAATTGTTGCTCTCATGTGCTTTGAATTAACATATTATTCTATGTTTGCTGTATTATGCCTTGGATATGATATGCTAGATATTCTATTTTGGAAAATACTTGTCGTTCAGCATCCTGATATTGGAAATCCATGAGATATCTGTTATTACTTATTCATGCACGCACATATCATAATTTTATCTGTTTGTTCTGCGTGCGGACCATGACATAACTTACATGCATAAATTTCATGCTTATTTCTGAACCAAAAATATTTATGAAAAGTAAGCATACGTTTGAGCACGCATCATGTAGGCATCCCTCCGGTACAAGGGAATAGAACCGTGGCTCAGTTCGAATAGGTCCAATGGAATTCACCTTTGGAGCCCTATGGAATCTCCACTGCGTTTGTTAGTAGTACGTGCACCGTAGTGCTATGAACGTACACCTTTGGCGTTATATACGCACTATGATTATGTTTAGTATTTATCGGATTTATTTGATGATGCGACTGTTTTGTAATTCTGTATCTGGTTAGTACTGTTGCATTACTAGTTTTGCTATCACACTACTGGGATCTTTCTCACCCCTCTTGGGGCTCAATTTTTATAAAATTGCAGGAGGACGAAAAAGCATATGATGACGTTATTATTTTGGATAGTTGCTATTGATTGCTGCTGTTTGGAATTCCTGCTGTTGTCTATTTTATTTGTTGGAAGCTAGCTGACCTTATTATATTGATGTAATATTTTGGGGAACATGGACTACTGTTGGGACATGCTTAATCAGCTGTTTTAAGGTTTTACGGTCAGTTTGTTGTTTTAACGTTTTAAATGCTGTTTACAGAACTATTTAGCAAGCACCTCGCGAGCTATGTTTCGTGGGGCTACAGCCCTCCGAATCGCTTATAATTTATATGCACGTGAAGCCCCACGTGTCTAGTTTCAGATTATATAAACTTTACAATGGAATTTTTGATTACTTGATTTTATACGATTTTCACAAGGCAGCAAGGTCTGTCAGAAAAATTAATGTTTCAGCAAGTAATGTAATTTTTGTCTAAATGTCACACGGGTTATTTTTAGATCAGATTTGAATACGAAAAAATTTTAGTAGGCTTAAAACCAAATTTTCAGAACTTACTCGTTAGCATTTCGACTCTAATCCGCTTAGCAGACAACTCCCTTGGATGCATACAGGGGAGGGTGTCACACTAAATGGTATCAGAGCAGTTTTGGTTCATGGTGTCTGTTTGCTTGTTGAATTGTTTGCTGCTTGCTGAATTGTCTGCTGATTGTACTTGACTGTTAAATTATTTGTTGTTTGCTGTATGATAAAATGTTTAATATTTTGAGATATATATTAATTGTTTTAACTATACTGTTAGAATTATACAATGATAGGGACAGATGCATTATTAACTTAGCTGACTTGAACTCGAGTACCTACTTGGAATTGCTGTCATGAATAGCTTGCAGTGAGTCTCATCAGCTCATTTCGTGGTATTGTGAGTGCAGAAACATGGCAGGTACCCGTGGTTCTACTCAGGGAAGATCTAGTAATGCACCTGATGACCTTATCACTACCGTTGGGGGGTTGGCCACTTTTGTCCAGAACATGAGTTAAGAGTGGAGAGAATATCGGCATCAGAATCCGAACCAACCCCAGATGCAGGACAATGCTGAGGAAATTGCTAGGCGGAGGTTGAATGACTTCTGAAACTTTTAGCCACCTACATTTGAAGGTGGGGATAATCTTGATGGCTGCAGATGATCGAGCATATATTTGAACGTATGGGATTTCCGGAAGCTCAGAAGGCTGACTATGCCTCATACCAGCTGATTGGTGAAGCTTCGACTTGGTGGACCAGTGCGAGGGCTTTGCTTCGAGCCCAAAATGTTGATCTGACTTGGGCGGTGTTCAGACGGGTTTTCCTCGACAAGTATTTCCCAAAGGCCATGAGAAGAATGAAACACACTGAGCTGCTGTCACTACGGCCGGATAATATGACTGTCAATGAATATATTGCTAAATTTGGGCAGCTGATGGAATATGCCAATTTTGATCGAAACATCTACGATGAAGAGTGGCAAGTGGAGAAATATGAAAGTGGACTGCACCCAGAGATTCACAAGCTCATGCTGACTACAGCTAATCGTACCCTACCAGAATTAATTAATCAGAGTCGTCAAGCGGAAGAAATTATCAATGAAGCGAAGAATCTGTCTAAGCAGCCAATGCAATCCCAAGGAGAATGTAAATTGGGCCGGTTCTTCAGAAAGATTACCAGAATGAATAGAGGCAAGGGTCCGCAGTTTCAATCTCGGACTGGAAACTTCAAGAGAAATAATGCTCCTGGCCAATCATCAGCAGGACGACAGGGTTCCAATGCTTGTGCTACATGTGGGAAGAATCATCCTGGAATCTGTCGACGTGGAAACAACTTATGCTACGGGTGTGGACAGTCGGGACACTTTGTTTCTGATTGCCCACAAAATTTTAATCGACCTCTTACTCAAGGTCGGGTGTTCACCCTTGATGCAAATGAAGCTCAGAAGTATCCGAATTTGATCCGAGGTAATGTAATTCTGAACGGTTATCCTCTTTCTGTTATCTTTGATTCTGGAGCATCAGGTTCTTTTATGGAGAAACACCCTGCTATGAGAATAGGCATCACCCCAGCTCCGTTACCTTATGAGTTACAAATCAGTACTCCTACTAGAGGATCTTGTACTGCATCAGAGATCTGCAGAGGTGTTATTTTGCAATTTGAAGGGAACATTTATACTGTGAATTTAGTGGTTCTACCGGTGTTCAATTTTGAGGTGATTATCGATATGGACTGGTTGACGGAGGACAGAATAACATTGGACTGTCAAGCAGGGAAAGTCATAGTTCCTTCGAAAGATGGTAATTTTCAACCTTTTGCTACTATTTCTTTATTACAAGTTAAAAAAGAGCTCCTTCGGGGAGCTGAAGGTTATCTATTGTTGATTGAGTCTGAGACTTCAGTTGACAACCAAATTCAGAATGTTCCTATTGTAAATCAATTCGAGAAGGTGTTCCTAGATGAAATTCCTCGATTACCTCCTCATCGGGAAATAGAATTCCCCATTGAACTTATTCCCGGAGTTGAACCTATTTCCATTTCCTTGTAACGCATGGCCCCTTTGGAACTTCAGGAGCTGAAGAAGCAAATCGAAGAGCTGTTGTCAAAAGAATTCATTAGACCCAGTAATTCTCCATGGGGTGCTCCAGCTATTCTTATAAAGAAGAAGGATGGTAGTCTGCGTTTGTGTGTGGATTACCGTCAACTGAACAAAGTGACAGTGAAAAATAAGTATCTGCTTCCTAGAATCGATGATTTGATGGACCAACTGAGAGGTGCCAGAGTGTTTTCCTAAATAGATTTGTGATCGGAATACCATCAGATCCGGGTCAAACCGGAGGACATTCCGAAAAAAACTTTTAGGACTCGATAAGGGCACTATGAATATCAGGTGATTTCGTTCGGACTAACAAATGCTCCGGCGGTATCCAGGGACTATATAAATCGCATCTTCCGCCCATTCCTGGATCAGTTTGTTATTGTGTTTATCGATGACATTCTGATTTATTCCCTCAATGTAGAACTGCACGCGGAACATTTGAGGATCGTTTCACAGATCCTTAAGGAGAAGAAATTGTATGCAAAGTGGTCGAAGTGTGAGTTCTGGCTTAATGAAGTCCAGTTTCTGGGCCATATAATTTCAGCATAAGGCATTGCTGTGGATCCCAGCAAAGTTGAAGCAGTAATGAATTGGGAACGACCCAAGATCGTCACTGAAGTGCGGAGTTTCTTGGGTCTGGCAGGTTATTATCGTAGGTTTATCCAGAATTTCTCTCAGTTTGTACAGCCTCTCACTCGTCTCACTCGGAAGGATATGCCTTTTGAGTGGACCGACACTTGTGAAGAATGTTTCATGGAGCTGAATAGTAGATTGACAAGTGCTCCGGTACTTACTATTCTGGACCCAGCAAGAAAGTTTGAAGTGTACTGTGATACGTCTTTGAGGGGACTTGGATGCGTACTGATGCAAGATAGTATGGTAGTAGCTTATGCCTCTCGGCAATTAAAGTCTCATGAGGAAAATTATCCTACTCATGACCTGGAGTTACCAGCCATAGTGTTCGAGCTAAAAATCTGGAGACATTATCTGTATGGCCCACAGTTTGATGTTTTTCAGTGATCACAAGAGTCTGAAGTACTTGTTCGATCAGAAGGAGTTAAACATGAGGCAGCAACGGTGGATGGAATTCTTGAAAGATTACGAGTTTGAACTTAAATACAACCCAGGCAAGGCAAATGTGGTAGCTGACGCATTGAGTCGCAAGACTCTACACACTGCAACTCTGATGATGGAAGAACTTAAACTATTTGAGGCTTTTCGAGATATGAATTTCTCTGTTGTCAAAAGAAGGCGTAGTATAAGGTTGGGCAGTGTAAAAATAGAGAATGAGTTACTTCGTAGAATCAAGAGGGCTCAGAGGGATGAGGAACTAGTTTATAATTTGGCTGGTTTCCAAGATGTAGTATGGGATGAAAATGAAATGTTGAGATTCCATGGTCGGTTAGTAGTACCGAATGAAGAACTGAAGCAGGAAGTTTTGCAAGAGGCCCATAAAGGTAATTATGTTGTTCATCCTGGATCCACTAAAATGTATCATGATTTGAAGACTTCTTTTTGGTGGCCGGGTATGAAACGTGATATTGCGGAGTATGTAGCTCAGTGCCTAACATGTCAGAAGGTGAAGTATGAACATCAAAAACCTTCGGGACTTCTTCAACATCTGGAGATTCCCGAATGGAAATGGGACAGCATTGCCATGGACTTTGTAGTCGGACTTCCTCGGACGCTAGAAGGATTTGATGCCATCTGGGTAATTGTTGATCGGTTGACAAAATCAGCCCATTTCTTGAGCATCTGGACGACGTATAATACAGAAAAGCTTGGCAGGATTTATCTTCGAGAGATTGTGAAGCTACATGGAGTTCCCATCAGTATTGTCAGTGATCGTGATCCCAAGTTCACCTCTAAGTTCTGGGAGTCTTTTCCGCGGGCTCTCGGAATCCATTTGAGGTTGAGCACTGCTTATCATCCACAAACCGATGGCCAGACGGAATGCACTATTCCGGTTCTAGAGGATATGTTGCGGGCATGTATCTTAGATCAAGGAGGCAGTTGGGACAAATATATTCCTTTGGTAGAGTTTGCGTACAATAACAGTTATCAGTCCAGCATCCGAATGGGACAATATGAAGCATTGTACGGGAGGAAATGTAGATCCCCGTTATGTTGGGTTGAAGTTGGTGAGCGGAGTATTTTGGGGCCTGATATGATTCAAAGAAAATATGCAGCGGGCCCAGGCGAGACAGAAAATTTATTACGACAATCGTCATAAGCCCTTATCTTTTGAAGTGGGAGATCACGTGTTTTTGAGAATCACACCCACATCTGGACTCGGCAGGAGAATGGGAGTTAAGAAGTTGAGTCCGCGGTACTTGGGACCATATCTTATCTTGGATAGGATTGGAGAATCAGCTTATCGGTTGGCGTTACTGCATAATTTGTCAGGGATTCATAATGTATTTCATGTGTCACAACTGAGGAGATACCTCTCTGATCAATCCCTTGCGTTACAACCAGAAGAAGTGGAGTTAGGGGAAAACTTGATGTAACCTGTTCAACCGTTCCAAATTTTCGAGAGGTCTGTTAAACAACTCCGATCCAAGGAGATACCGTTGGTGAAAGTGTTGTGGAACAATAAATCGGCATATGAAGCCACTTGGGAGCGTGAAGCCGACATTCGAAATCGATATCCAGAACTTGTTAATTAGTAAGTAAATTTAATTTTGCGGACAAAATTTGCATTTTGGTAGGGAGAGTGTAACATCCCACATAATTAGGAAAACATATACATTACTATGAGGAATATGGAAGCATGTGTTAAATCCGTATATATGTGAATAATCTTAGGGTGTAATTAAATTGGGGTAGGAAAAGTATTATAGTTGCAATTATGTGGGGGAATATGCTTTAGGCATTCAAAACCTTAGTTAAAAGAATAGGATTAATGTAATCATAACGTATTAAAATGTTAGTTAAAATTTAGTAGTCATATGAAATAAAAATTAGTAGGGTCTCCCATGTGTTAAGCGAAATTTCGAAACATTAAATTTGGGCCTTTGTTCCATTGAGGGCTGCGGCCTTGAGCCTTAAAGAAGGGCATATGATCAGCCCAAAACCCTTCCTCCACCTTAACTAATCTTTACTTACCCTAAGAGGATCATGATCAATCCCTCATTGGCCAAAATGCACCACTTGGCAAAACCCCATCCTTGTTTCCCCTCACATGTGCGCATAGGGTATGTCAAAATTCTGATTTCTTGCTTTTGTGGACACAGCAAGTCAGCCACATTGCCTCCTCAAGCGGCCAATGAAGAGAGAGCAATCCACCTGCATGTTTTCCTATTGGACTAGAATCCCCACATGGCAAACTCCCTCATCCTGACCCCTTGTGATGCGCATGGAATGAATAGAAGGGAAGCTGATTTTTTTTTTTTGCTATGGTATCCAAACTGAAACAACCTTTTACATGCACCCAATGAGAAACTTGTAGTCAGCTTGCATGTCTTTTAATTGGGAAAAAACCTCACCCACTTTGCACCCATTTTTGCGCATGAAATGAGAGAGTGAGTCTAGTATTTCTTATCCTTGTTGCTCTTTATAATCAGCCTCAAACCCCCATTCTTTCATCCCCCATGCGCTGATTGTGTAGGATAAGTAGGTTGAAGATTTAACTTGTGTAACAGAAATAAACGTAACAACACCCCTCTCCTCTCATTCTTCCATGACTGTGAGTGAAGGAACACCAAAAGAAACACAAGATTGTACACTAGTCTCACCTCTTTTCCTATAAATCGTGGACCCCTAGAGAACTACCATCATCCAAGCATCCATCTCCTTCTTCTCCCTATTCGGCCGAAGCCCATCCTACAAGGAGGTATAGAAAATTCTCTTCTTCATTGTCTCTCTCTCTACCACGTTTGGTTGTTGAAGATGTCCTCTTGCATGTAGGTTTTGACTTAAGCTAATCCTCCACCCCCTTGTGCGCACAAGTCACCGTCTAGGAGGGCTAGACTTGCTGTTTTCGTGGAGCATAGGAAGTTGGGGTGTTGCTCCTTGTCCTCTTCGTGGTTCTTGGTGTATTTGCAAGAGGTAAATCTGAATTTAGAACTCCCTCTCCCTCTCTTCTGTTTCGGGTTTGCAAGAGGTATGTGTTAGGTGGCATTACCTTTTGTGACTGCTACCTAGTTACGGGATTGTGAATTGTTGCTCTCATGTGCTTTGAATTAACATACTATTCTATGTTCGTTGTATTATGCCTTGGATATGATATGTTGGATATTCTGTTTTGGAAAATACTTGTCTTTCAGCATCCTGATATTGGAAATCCATGAGATATATGTTATTACTTATTCATGAAAGTCAAAATTGGCTGCACAAAGGTCTCACCTTGATGCGCCTACATGAGGGTAAAAACAAAAAAAAATGGTCTTTGATGCGGAAGCATAGACAATCTATGCGCCTCATGTTTTAGGATCTGCCCGTTAAACATGTAGGGTTTAAAATTCATACCTTTTCACTTGAAGGTGTCAAAGTGGATGACTCCCTCTAACAGTAATCCACACGACTACCTCTTGGTTGCTTCTGAGAAACGCTTTCTCCCGGAACCCTCCCTTTCCTTGGAAGCTCGCTAGGCTGCGGCAAGGTGGAGGCTTTCAAGTGTTTTTGTTTATTTTTCTCAAGACTGTAATGTTGTCTTGAGGTTAGGCGAGAGGACCAATAAATGGAGGAAGAGAGATGAAGAGAAAGAGGGGCGGCCAAAATTAGGATTTTAGTCCAGAGAGACGCTGTATAACTTGATCTGAAGAAAAAGACGTTACTTTAACGTGGTTCAGCAAATCCCTTAATCAGCATTAAGAGATGGACGTTACATTTACGTTTCCTCATCAAATCCCTTAATCAGCATTAAGAGATGGACGTTACATTAACATTTCCTCATCAAATCCCTTAATCAGCATTAAGAGACAGACGTTACATTAAATATAATTTTA